CTCCGCCTCCCGGGTTCACGCCATTCTCCTGCCTCAGCCTCCCGAGTAGCTGGGACTACAGGCGACCGCCACATCGCCCGGCTAGTTTTTTGTATTTTTTAGTAGAGACGGGGTTTCACCATGTTAGCCAGGATGGTCTCGATCTCCTGACCTTGTGATCCGCCTGTCTCGGCCTCCCAAAGTGCTGGGATTACAGGCGTAAGCCACCACGCCCGGCCTGGCTCAACCATTTTCTGATTGAACAATGTCAAGTTCTATCTCCTCAGGGAAGCCTTTTCTCAGCCCTTGACCCACAGGGGAGCTACTGCTCCCTCTTCTGATCTCTAGAGCACCAATATTCTGTACTGCCACTTACAATGGGCCATCGTTTCTGACCTCCCGACTCCTTTCAGCATTCTTCTGGGTACCGCTCTGGAGATAAAGACGTCTTAACCCCAACTCCAGACCCTTTGAGTCTGGAGAGGGGCTTGTGCCTGCCTCTTGCTATCCAAAGCTTCGGTTACTTCCATTACTAGCAGCAGCAGAGCCCTCTGCATTTCTCCTCCCATAAGGCCAGGCCCTCAGCCTTGGCTACATTGTCTCCAAGAAGCAGGAAGGGCTGGAGGGCAGCCAGGCATTGGGCTGAGATAAGGCCTGGCTCTTAGCCTGATGTCAGTGGCCGGACACTCACCTCAAATACAAGCGTGGCACTGGGGGGAATCTTTGGAGGACTGCCTGCTGAACCGTAGGCATATTCTGGTTTGCAGGTGATGTGGCACACCTCCCCCACCTTCATGGTTGCTATGGCAATGTCCCAAGCCTTGATGACCTCCCCTGCAGGTACAGAGGCAAACAGGACCACCTTAGCAGGGTTCTGATTCTGGGCTCAAACAGTGCTTCTGAAGAGTTAATGCACCACACTCATGGGGAAGCTGAACATCCTTTAGAAATGGGACCAGAAGGTGAGATACCTGGTTGCATTAAGTGCTACCAGGTCTAAGAACTGTAAAAGATCACCTGACCCTGAACAAAAGAGTTTAAGATGCAAGACAGTCCACCTTTGAAGGGGGAGTAAGGTGTTGGGAGGTGATGAGGAGAAGGGGAGACAAAGATCAGTATAGTTACAGAACGGTAGAAAAAAAAAGAGTGACCGAAAGAGTTAACAGACTGTGATAAACCATTCCTCCCTGAGCTTGGTCCTGAGAAAATGTTTCTGCTTGTGACAGCTTGTGTCCACCTCGAACCTATCCTACCAGCCCACTGACCACGCCTACCTTTTCCCAGGTCAAAGGAGAATTTGTCCTTGCGATCCAGACTGGAGTCAAACTTTGTGCCATCTAATAGCCAGCCAGTATAGTGGACAAAGACTCGGTCCCCAATCATGGGCATCTCTGTACCTGTGCCCTCTCTCTTGATGACCTGGGAGGAAGGGGGAGAAAGTGAGTAACCCAGGGTTTGGGGCCGGAAGGGGCACCAACACTGCCTGCAAGCCTCCAGAGGGAACATAAAGGGACTTCTCTGGGTTCATCCTCCTCTGCCTACTTGTCCCTCCAGGTTCAGCTACTAGCAACTTGACTTAGGAGTCAACTAACCTCCTTGTCTTTCTTCAGGTGCAGCAAGACTTGGTTTGAAAAAGGAGACAAAAGGCTGAGAGATTTCAGTTCAAGTTTCCGCTGTATGGATAAGTTTTAAAAATTCTCCACACCTTATTTGTAAAGCAGTGATGATAATCCCTATCTCCTACAATTGTTGGAAGATTAGACCAGTAAAGGGTTGAATAATAGATTATTATTATCATCGACAAAGGGGGAAGTATTTATGCCACACTTCCTCCTCCTTCCTTCATGCCAGTGGTCATCAGATTAAGGTCTGGTTTGGAGACAGGAGAACGAGAGGAGTATGAGTGAAGAGAACAGAAACAGTTCAAAACAGGTAAGGAAGAAACCAGGTTATAAGTGAACCCAGAGGCTCTCCATGGGACCTTAAACTCTGACTTGGGAGCGGAGTATTCCTCACTGCTAGGCTGTTTAAGACCAGGGCTGGAGTTATTTCCCAGAAACGCACAGGTTTCTTTAGCGCCACCTGGTAGGTGTGTGGTTACCCTCTAAGGGAAAGCTTTCACGGAGAATGGACAGGGTCTTGGAGGAGTAGAAAGGTAAAAGGGAAGGAATGGCGGATCAAAGGGGAAATGACCCTTCCTGGAATAACAATCTCATAGAAAACAGCAGGACGCTGGAGCGAGAAGGGGAAGCCACCGCACAGGAGAGCCGCTGGAGCAGACGCTCGAGGTCCCCAATAATCTGGTGCAAAGACAGATGCACTTCTGGACCAGCTAAAGGCCCCCTGAGGCGGGTGCCACACACGCGGAGCTCAGCGGTGGGAAGCCAGGATGAGGAGGAGCAGCGGATGGGGAGAAGGCATAAGACGCGGGCTGGGAATTCCTCTCCGGACTCTCCCCGGAACCTGCTCCGACCCATGGCAGGTTGTCCTGGCCCAGGTCAAGATGCCCTCCCCCCAGCTCCCCAGGCTATTTGTAGTCGAGCGGTCACTCGGCGGCAGGCTCCACAGCAGAGCGCCTCCTCTCCGCCCCACACCCCGCAGTCCCGGCTCGGGGAGGCGGCGGGGGGGAGGGGAC